TAACATATCAACTTACACACAAAAACTTAGATTCTCATTGTTAGGTTACACCCACCTAATATAATTTGTGTAGGAAATTTACCTACACGTACATAAACAAATCCTTTACTCCAAATAATTTGTATTTCATTCAAGCTCATGGCAATTAGATATAGGTTTAATCAAAATAAGGAGTCACATGCTCATAATTACAAAGTTAATGTCCTAAGTTTGTTAATTTATACATGTCCAAAACAAAAGAGGCCAACTAGCAAATGGTGTCTATGCACACCAATTCTACACCTTTGGTGCTTCTCTAATTAGACCTTTTCCTGTAAAAATATTAACAATGAGAAATAAGACACAAGATTCTAGTTTCTAATATTAATAACAAATGATTTATGTGATGCAACTACACCTTATACCTTCCTTACATTGGGAATGAATTCCATGCTTAACATCTAGCGCACCTTACTAAACATAAACTAAGTGGACATACCAAAATATATTTTCAAGCACAAATTTTTCCAAACAACTAAACAAGCAAATGCATGACTACACCTTATATCTTCCTTACATTGGGACTAAATTCCATACTTAACATCTAGCACACCCTACCAAAGATAAACTAGTTCAAGCTTCAAGCCACCCCTTAGATCTAATGAAGGCATACCACATAGTAGTTAATCTCTGAAAAAAATCCCTAACAAACATATTTCAAAACTCAATAAGTCATACATATATTATAAGCATATCTGAACAAGAAAACATATCCAAACAATTTTCATATTTCTGAACACAAGTTTTCATACCAAACATATTATATACATGCATATCATCCCACTTGATGACAAATTTTCCAAACAACAAACACAATTTTCAAACATAATATAGTTTTCCAAACACAATAAAATCTCACAAAATCAATTACAAAAAACACAACACTAGTCATTAATAATGGTTACCTTTGATCCTTGTTATTAGAGCTCTATGAACAAGAGACTTTTTCTCTTTAATGGTGTCAATACCAAAATCTACACATAACATGACACTAATAAACATTAATAAAATACCAATTATAGCTAATCAAAGTGTCTATACACTAATTACACTCTAATGGACTAATCCTTGGGTTACGCTAGTCAATCTAATTAACCTAAGAACTTCCCAATACACTTTAATCATCAACTTTGTCCACATTTAAATCGCAAATTTAACCTCTATAACCTCAAAACATAGTCAATGGTTATTCAATAAAGATTAAGGTTTTAGATTCTCACTTTTCATTACTCAAATCATCATCAAACTCCTTAAATAACACATATATAACCTTAAAACATTCCCAAAATTCATACCTAAGGGCTAGGTATCCCCAAAAACAAAATCCCTAGCAAACCCATGATAATTTCTAGCTTAAAATGAAGAGAGATGGATAGAGGAGAGATTTAGAGAGTTACCTTAACACTTTTGAGCTCTAAAATAAAGCTCAAATAGAAAACTCATCAAAACCCTAACTAGTAAAGAGCATTATTTTTCACACTTAATACTCACCAAACTCCCTCCTATTTTGTCAAATAACAAAATGAGTGTTTTAAATTTCTTGTTATGCACTGTGGTGGATGCATAATGCATTGTAGTACATGGCACATAGTTGGCCTCCTTACTTAATCCTACAATTGTTAAGGTAGATTTGGTCCAATACTCCTTTTAGACCACAATTAATCCTAATATATCACTTTAGGCCCAATTTAAGCCCTAATCAAATGCTTAAACATATGGTTAATCTCAAATACAAATTTATTCCTCAATAAAATCTCACAATAATATTAACCCAAATTTTATATCTTTAATTAAACCTCAATTTTCACATTTATAACTTAAAAATTAGAATGTTAGAGAGCACTATGTTTAGTATTGTCATTATCCTTAGAGAAGTATCATAGGTTGGGCACTACTTAATATCACTAATTTCCCATAGGAGATGGTGTAGATTAGGCATTATGGAAACCCTTAAATTTGAGGAAAGGGGAAACCATGGTCCAAAAGTGAGTATGGGAGCCTTTAGTTGTGTAACCACTTATAATTAGAGAGTTTGGGTTAGTCCAATCATATGTGCTAGTCCTATACATATTAGTAGCTTATGAATTCAGGTAGAGAAAATAAGAAGAGTAATAAGGTTGATGTACTAATCATGTATATCATACATTATTAATGTGCATGCTTAAGTATTTGAAATAATCTTGATTTGAAATATGCCTACTTTGCATGCTCATGGTTGCTATACTTGTATGTGCTTAAGTTTTTGTTCTCTAATTACTAGGAATATTATCTCACTTCCATAGTTTAATGTTTATAAGTGAAAATTCAATTAAGGGAAGGCAAAGCCTCCGAGGCTATAGACAACTAATTTGATAATGTCCCTAATTTTTGTGTAATAGAATACTATATTTGCCAACTAGGGGGTTATTGCATGATAAGTTATGTTGATTTGGTTATGCTTGCCATTATAGTCTTAGACATTGAATTAGGCTTTTTTTTTTGTATATCTTGGACATTATAAGGTTCAAACCCCTAATTTGACTTTTGTTATGAGCCAAGACATTTTGGTCAACTGTATTTGGATAAGTTAAATGTGTTTTGCATAATTTTGATGGTTATATGGTTTGAATGTAGAAAATTACATTTTCACTCTTTTTTATGTGAATTATGGTGGTTGGGTGGTCAAGTATTGTTTTATAGTAAATATTATGCATGTCAATGTTTGAGCATGTGTATTAGGACCTATTGAGTATGGTTTAAGATATTATGTAGACTAATGACTTATGATGTGAGATTTAGACACTTAGTTGAGTGTTTAATATGAAATTTGTTAAATTTTGCCCCAAGTGTCCAAATTCTCTATTTTATATCAAATTGAGATGAAACCAAAGCCAATAGTTATATTATGAAATTATCTATATGTAGGCATTTAAATCACCCTAGTCTAAGGTTTGGTTCAAAAGTTATGTGTGCTGAAAGTTGGAATTCTATAGTTGTCATGATAGGTAAGCTGCACCTTATGAAGCTTTGGCCACAACTAATGCTTCCAAAGAAGATTTAGCTATGGCTTAATGCTTATTAGCTATGGCCAACCATCTCATGTCATGAGTTGTGATTAATAGCATGTTGGCCATAGTGGAATTATCGGTTTGGTTAATAATGACCCTTTTAACCTTATTTTGACTTATTATCAACTCCAATTAGTTTTCTTGCTTCCCAAATACTTTTTACTCTAATTTAAATGAGCTTCTAAACTTTCTTTTGCATTCTAAATGATTTATAGAATCCTATTTCTAAAGAATTTTACAATTAGCTTTTTTCTTGTTTTCTTAACTATAGTTAATCCTTTCTATCATGGTAACTTTTGATAATGACTACTTGTTTAATTACCATGGTAGAGAGTTTAATTAGTGATTAATTACGTGATAAAAATAAGGAGTATTATATTTGACAAGTCTAACTTTTTGGTTCATGGGTTTTATAAAAAATTAAAGATAATGATGGTTGTCATTTGGTTTCAGATTTCTAAAATAGGATTTTGATCATTTATTGATGTAATTAATTGAATATGATAGATTGGTAGGATGTGGCTCTACTTCTAATGGATGATAATGCTTTGTGGTGGTTGCCAACTATGGTGGTCGTCAATGGCTAGTTATTGGATTTAAGTGGGTTGAACATATAAAGATGTGGTCCACCAATTTTGAAGAGAGTATTTTAGTACTTGTGTATTTTAAATAAAAATTATACCGCAAATATATATATATATATATATATGCATGCTAAACATATTTTTAAACTTAATTCTATTCTGATTTTGATTTTGATTTTGATTCCAACTCTTTTAAAAATTCTTCCATGCAAAATGAGGCCTCAGTGATTGGCCATCATTTATAATAATGCTTGACTTGATATTTCCTTGGTGAATGGATAGTTTTGTTAGTAAAATAGAGACATATGTGCTGACCTTGCCTAATCATATTTTGATGCTTAAAAGTGGTTTTAATTATCATATCAAGAGATTGTGCATTATAATGAAAGTTAACACTTGATTTTGTCTTGAGAAAGCTTTTTCAAATACTTTAGGACCTTATGCTAGCATTCATTTTTATTAAGAATCTAATTGAGTTTTATAAAATATAATAGAGAGAAATAATCATAGGATATGTCATATTTTTTACAATTTAGTTTTGATTACAATTCATCAATGACAAAATTTCTTTCTTTTGATAGAAAACTTTAAAATGATTTTGCTCAACCTAATCGGAAGCATAATAGCAAATTTTAACCACCTTTTTGCAATAATTCTTGTGGAAAAAAAACTTTTATCATCATTAAACAACTTATGATGCCTATGTGCTTAGGATAAATGCGAACATCCACCTATTTAAAAGTCAAAACTTTTGTAAAAGTGATTGTTAAATTATCCTAGAAAAAATAAATAATAAACACATATTTCTCCCATGTTACCCATCTTTTTTTAATTTTTTAAGTGCCCTGTGGATTGATTTCAAAATTATTTTATCAAATTAAATTTACCTAGGTCCAAGTATTTTTTCCCCTAAACTTTCCTTTTTGATGAAACTTATTAGCTAATGTTTTATATTTTTTTCTTCTTTTTCTAATCAATGCATGAAAAGTGTATTGTAATCCAAATGTTGCAAGTAATATTTTCAATTTTATGTCTTATGATTTAATTTATATATTGCATTTTTACACTTACTAATTACTTTATATATGTGTATACCCATCAATGATTAAATATAGCATTTTAAGCACATTAATCACCAACAATATTACAATATTAATGTAAAAGGTACTTTGATTAATGTACAATATTGTAGCAATATGCTTATTTATTTACATCAACTAAATCATAACAAGCTGAGAAATGTAATGTAAGAAGTTAATGAAATCTTATTAAATCCATGATGGATTATTCAGAATTCAAGGATTGCGAAATCCCTAATCTTGTATTAGAATTAGCATCTAGAGGTTTTTGTGCAGCATAAGGCTCCTGATGATCTTGTTAATGCCCTCACATATTTGGCATCCACAACTTTAAAAATTTGTTCCCTATTATAATAAGGCTTTAGCACACGCCCTCCTTTTGTTTCTGTGAAGCAAGCTCCGTTTTCAAATGCATCCCTTACTGAATGAAATTCCCACTCTCCTTTATCTTCATTGCTGTCTTTTCTCCACGTCACCTGCTCACATAGAGTACATACATATATAATTTATAATGTATATACATAGCTTTTATTATACAATTTTAGCTAATAGTTAAAATTACATACCTCTTTGCTTCCAAATGTTGGTGCTATAAAGAGGTTAGCTTCACTCTTGAGGCTAGGTCCCATACTTCCACCAATGGCATATTGCACCCATCCTTGGTAGAGGTTGTTGGCCACATGTGCATACCCATGACGAATTCTGTAATGCTATTGACTTATGAGGTAAATGCTTCATACACAAAAATGTATGTTATGTGTGCTTTCAATTAATTAATCACACACCTAGGCATACGTTGGTTGCAATTTGGTCCAAAATGGTTGTAAATCACGGTGACCTTCATATTCTTATCTCTAGCATAACCATCATCATGTCCAAGAAGCATAACCTTGTCTTGGTCTTTAAACCAATTATTAGAGATAGTGACATTAGTGGAACCCCTTGTGACATCAAGGAGGCCATCTTGACAATTATATAAGGTATTATGGTCAATCCAGACCTTGTTTGCTGTAACCAATCTAATTGCATCCCCGTCAACCTGACCCACTTGAATCACCTTCCCTTTTGGGCCCATTACCATCCCAGCAGCTTGAGGCCTACAGTGATGAATTCGAATGCCATGTATTATTATGTTTGTTTCCTGTTACTTCCAAAAATTTTAAATGAGTTAAAAAAGGACAACATGATTATGAATTATTGATTATATAATAATGGGTGCACTATGAAATTGATGGTTATAGGTAGAATACCTTAAAGATCATCAAACATGCATTATCAGCAATGTGAACGTTTACACCACGGCCATCAATGGCAGTGAAGCTGCTGATGAAAAGGGGCCTAAGAAGTTTAATGTGCATATCTCTTTGGAATGTGATCCAAGCTTTACCTTGAATCATGGAAGCTCCATATCTCAATGTGCCTAGTTTAGGGTTTATTGGGTCATCGTTAGGATCTATAACTTTGTAATGGATGATGTCTTTTCCAATGTTGTTTGTCATCTTTCCTGCATAACCCATCGAGCATGTTGCAAGTTGCAAGCGATGTCTTTGCCATAAGGGGTTCATCCTCCAACATTGATCAATGGCATTCATGCTCAACCCAATCATCTTAGCATAACTGAGGGTTGGAGCAATAATGATAAGGATTGAAATGGCAATAATAAAGTGGCCTAAGATAGAATTGAAGCTTTGAGATGCCATGCTTGCATGTAACGAGTAGGAGAGAAGGATTTTGAAGGAGGGATGATTATATATAAGATAAAAGTGGGGAAGATTATATATTGAGATAAAAGTGGTTAGTAAAGCTTCGAATTTGTTGAGTAGTTGTATTAGGCTAGGGTGAATGGAGCATTAAATGTTTGGGAGATGCTATTTTTGTAGCAAAAAAATTTGTACCATTTTTTTATCCTAACTATAAAATGTGAGGACCTAAATTTTGCTTCAACAAAATGATAAATCAACTATTTAGTTAATTTTTTTACTAACCTATTGATTTTCCCACATGTGATGCTAATTGATAAATCACAAACACTCAATAACCATGAAATATAGATGTTTGCAATGATAATTATTGAAAGCAATTTAGGATTAAAATTATTTTCAACCTTAGAGAACATATTAAAAAAGCAATGAAATTTAATTAAAACAAATAAATTGTAACTTAAGCAATCAATACTATGTTAGGGAAAATTAATTATAATTCTTACTTGGCTTCTTCCTTTAAAACAATTGCACCAACTCCCCCCATACATTGCCTTTGTGTTTTCACTAATTTCCTTCAGGTTGCAACACCTTAAATTTTCACTTTTTTTTTTTGCAAATTAATAGTTTGATAAACTATTTTAATAAGTTTGAATTCTTACATAGTAAAAAAAAATATAAAAACCTTTCACAAATAGTATACCGTGATAAAAAGGGTCTATCATGGTAGAAAGATTTAAATATAATAAATTTACTTTATCATGCAAATTTAAAAAAAATCATTAAATACTTCAAGTATCCACCCTTGTTTCAATTTCAAAATCATGATCACATGAGCAACACTTCACAAACCATGCTTATATTATAAATTCTTGACTTGGGCCCAATTATATTTTTTTAAAATACTGGTTACCACCAAACCAAACTACCACATAAGGGCATACTTGATCAAAATTTTACTTCACAAAGACCTAAGGCCATGAGAGATAGACAGAATTATCTTGGCATATAAAATACAATTTATAAATAAAGTCTACATGCTTTGTGTGTGAGAGAGAGATTAATGAAAATCAAGAGACTGAATTAGAAAACGATGTCTCATACACCGAATTATGCCTCAAGTACTTCTCTAACCTAACTTGCTCGTAAAAAATTAATAACCACGGGGAATGAGACTTAAAAGTCTCAATAATCAAATATTAATATATAATAATGCACATGAGCAGTTAATTATGTGAGTACCAAGTGGGTAAATAGAATAACAATCCAAACAATTATTTAATTAGCATGACTACACCTTATATTTCTCTTTATGCCATGTTCAAATGCCAAGTCACCCAGTCAAAGGTGAGTTGGACCAAGTTACAAGCCACACATTGGTTCTAATGAGGGCTTATCATGTGGTAACTCAACCAAACAAAAATCCCCATCGAATAATTTTTCAATATACTCTAACCAGTCATGCATTTATAATAACTAAACAAAAATCATTCGGCACAATCTTAAATCAACCAAAAAATTTATCTCATGTTTTCAGCAATGCTAATATTTACAAAATATTCATAAATATAATTTTAACTCACTTGGCAATTATTTTTGGACAAATATATATATATATATATTATTTCTCAACAAAAATCAATATTTTTCAAATAACAAAACAAACACATGATTAGCCACATGCACATGCACTACCACACATTAATCATGGTTATCTCTTATCTTGAATAACACGTTCCCCTATATAATACCTCTTTCATCACTTTCTTGTACAACACAATCTACACATGTATATAATAATATATGTATAATATTAATTTCATGATATCAAATATTAATTTATATTGACATTAATAAATAATTCTAATTTAAATAGTTAGAAAGTTTAGGCCTAATTTTTATATTAGTATTAATTAAAAATTAGTGCCTCATTTAATTTTTTAAATTTTTTTCTAAAATTCTCATACCTCAAAAGACTATACTTAGCTCTTAAATCAATCATAATATCAAAATTTTATTAATTTATTTTTCAAAAAATTCGTCCAAAAATAAAAATTCAAAAACTACCCTCAAGCATTAAATTACCATTTCATAGCCTTAGAATATATTTATTTATACTCAATAAATATCTAATAATCAGAAACCTATCCCAACATCTCAAATCTAATATTAACTCAACCATATAGGTCTAGAGTCTAACTCAAAAAATTTTCAAATCTAAGTTCCAATCTCAAAAAAATATTCTATAGCATTTCTTATACCTCTAATAACCTTAACATTTATTTTTAAATCATCAAAACTTCATATTAACTATCCTATAAGAGAATTCTAATCAGATAATTTTTCTCCATTTATCAAAGTAATAATATTGTTTGACAATTCTAAATAATTAGCAAATATTAATGAAGAAATTTTGGAAAAAATGTTATTATGAATACCTAAATTATCTAAAAAGGTAAAACCTTACTTGAATATTGCCCACACAGATGGGAAACAAAGAAGAGGAGGGGGAGGAAGAAAAAGAAGATTGAGGGTGCAGAAATAAGAAGGGGAGAAGGGATATTTATAATAGGACATGGATCACATAGCTATTTATTTATTTATTATTATTATAATTGTTATATTATTTTTTCAAACTAAGGGAGCAAAAGTCCCAACCACCTTTTGGTGGTTTGGACTTTTCCCCTTTATATATATAATTATAATTTAAGTTAATAAACATTTCTTATTGATTTTGGGCTTAAATTTAATCCATATTTAAATGCTTAAATATGTGATTAACTCTAGCTAACCTTGAATATAAATTTTTTAAATTCTAAACATTAAAACAATATGAATTCCTAATTCTGAATCCTCAATAAAAATCTAATTTCACAATTTATTTATCATCTAAAGATCAAGATGTTACACAGGTGACTTTATTTCATTTGATGGATTCTTCAAGTCTAGATAAATGAAATTTCATGAGATTTTTTGTTTTGTTTTAAGACAACCTTAATTAAACAATATATCCTCAGAAAGTCATCAGCGAAAAAGGATATATCCTCTTTATTGAAGAAGTGATGAAGTGCATAAATTTTGATGAAAAATGGGTAATGTTGGTTATGGAATGTGTAAGATCTGTCAGTTTGAGTTTGGTGGTGTTAGGGAAGAAGATTTTTGATTTGAAAGTGGAGAGAAGAGGAGGAAATCCTTTATCTCCTTATTTCTTCATTATAGCAACTAATGTGCTTTCAAACATGGTGCAATGACATTTGGATAAGGGGAAGCTCAACGATATGAAAATAACAAATAAATGCTCAGTATTGTCACATTGTTTTTTTTAAATGATTCATTATTTTTGTGAACGCTAACAAAAAGAATTGTAGAGTTTTGAAGATTATTATTTATGAATACTATACAGCTTTAGGGCAATTGGTTAATTTTGATAAGTCATGTGTTTGAGGTGTTCTGAGGTGCTGGGAATTAATGCTCCAAAAATCCTAGTAAATACTTGGGGATGCCTATGGCATCAGGTAGGCTAAAGGTTGATGCATTGAATTTTGTAAAGAATAAAATGAATTTAAAGTTATAAGGTTGGAAGTAGAATCTTTTGACTTATGTAGCAAGAGAAGTGCTTATGAAGTCTGTAGCGAATGCTATACTAATCTTTCCTAAATCATGCTTCAAATTTTCAAAGAAGGTGTGCAAGGAGTGTGACAATATGATTTTGAGGTTTTGGTGATGAAAGGAAGATTCATTGGAGGCATAGGGGAGTTGAGTAAGGAGAATAGTAAAAGAGGATTGGGTTTTAGAGACTTCATGAGATTTAATAAAGCCTTGTGAGCTAAAATTGCCTAGAGGTTTCTTCAGAATTTTAATGATCAATGATGTGAAATTCTAAAGGAAATCTATTTTCTAAATGTGATTTCTTGTAGGCAACTAAAGGTAACGAGGCCTCATGGGGATGGATGAGTATCTTGGAAGGGAGGGATTTGTTGCAAAAGGACTTATGTTGGCAAATTAATACTAGTGATAAGGTTGATTTGTTTAAAGGTAAGTAGATCCCTTCTACTTTGAACTTTTGTTTGTGTGATAAAGTGTTGAATGAGGAAGATAAAAAGTTAAAGGTAAAAGATATAATTGTTGATAGAAAAGGGGATTTTAATAGGGTGAAAAGTTCATTGTCTAATGATGAAAAATAATTAATTAGGAATGTGAGAATTTTATGATTGAAGGGGAGGATAGATGGGTTTGGTTGAAGAGTAAAGATGGTAATTATTATATTAAGTTGGGTTATAAGGTGGCTAGTACGAATGAAGTTATGAAACATATCAGTAAACCTTCTAGATCTTACATAATTCCTAAAAAGCACTGGAATGGGGTTGGCAATATTAAAATGCCCCTTAAGGTAATTCATTTTATGTGAAGATTGGTGACTGTTTCTTTGGCTACTTGGAAGTTTATGGACATGCTTTATTTTTATGTCATTATGCTCATATATGTTAGTTTGGATCCCTATTTTCTTTGAAGTTTGAGGTAAGGGGTATGACTAGTGTAACATCATGAAATTTTAAGACTCAGATTTATTTTAAAAAATTATAAAATAAAATATTTATAATTAAATTATATGATAGAGGTCTTGAGTTTAAATTTTTCTAAGCAAAACTTTGGTTTTATTTTATTTTAACTATGAAAAAATTACTAAAGTTGACTCAAGCTTTTGTGTTAGAATTAAAAAATATTGGGTCCTTACTTATTATTTGCCCTAAACTTTTTAGTTCAATTTGTTTTTTATAAGAGCACGTAGAAAAGAAATGAGCAAACAAAAGAAACAAAATGCAAGAACAAAACGGAAGAGAAGAGTAACGGTGAAGAAGAAGAAGCAAGAGAGGGAAGCTAGAGCTCGAATCCAGAAGGCTTTA